CCTTACCGAAAGCTTCATGATCTAACATGCTAGCAACAATGGGAATAAACTCAACTAGCAGCGCCCGTTAAAATTCCACACCCCCTTCCCACCCCCTCCCAAAGTGCTCTTCTCTTTTGCATATTCGATGAATAGTGCAGATGTTTCTATCAAGTTGATGAGCTCATTATCTATTCCCCAAAGTGTTTTCTTGTTTTTGTAATAGTGTGCATTTGAAGTTTACATGTTTGAAGCGAGATTGGGACGACATTGGAAGTAGTGTTCAGTAAGAATTGACCATTTACGAAAATTGAAATCCAAAGGAGCTATCGCACGCTTAGAGTTCCAATATTTCAAAATTTTGCATTTTGCTGAAACTTCGCCAGGAGTAGCTCGACCTCTTGAAAACATATTGATTCTGCACTAAAGCTTCATCTCAGGGCTGTGAGTTGTTATTAGAAACATACTTTCGACGCATATCTGCTCCTTGTGTAATTTTGCAGTTTATCAGCCAGATAAATAGGCTACATATTTGTGGGCAGCACGTCAGGTGACCCCGTTAGAGCACAAAAGATGTTAATTTTTATGATGTACCTCGACAGCTCGGAGGGGAAGCCTTGGTATAGGTAATTTTTTCGCAACATTAATTTTCTGTTCTGTGCAAAGGTATAGCCAACAAGCTTTGCACTTTTGCACATGTTAATTGTAGAAAATGAGTCATAGAAATGTTCAACATCTCTTAGCATCTCAGCTTCGGTCTAAACATGTAAGTGTTAGGTTCAGACATAAACAAGACGCAAATAAAGCCAGTTAGTTATAGAATACGAGTCCATTATAATAAGGTACAAGAAACTTATCACTGCGACATTCTCCCAGCTGGATTCATTCAAGAGCGGTTGTTATATCCAAATGAAAATTTAGAACTGCACTCTTCTTTTTCATCTGGTAGTTTTCGCAGCGATGGAACATAAGTTTGGGATTACCTTGTGAACACTATTCGCTGACATGCAGTTCTAAAGCTCAGAGTTCAAAAACCCTAGAGAGAGCTATCATAGGGTCGGTATTAAGTCGATGATAAGCGTATATCATTAGACTTAGCAACCGTTAGTTTGTACCGTAGCCCACTGCGATTTCTCTACAGAGAGTGACAACAGTTACCTGCAGCTTTACGCGCAAATGCGCTAGTTATTGCTCAAAAACGTGTCGTTAAGCAAAACGAAGATCTGATATTCCTTACTGTTTTTGCATTTGGCTAAGGTCATTCAAGATGAAAACTAGAATCTGTTGAGTTGGAAAAAGAATAGCAGAACGCGTAAATATTGGGTAATGATTTGAAATAGCATTTCACTTCGTTCATCTGATGATGAATGTCACCACAAGCGAGCGAATATCACATAGTATCATTCCATTGTGGGTCATCTTACAATGCGTACTGTTAAAGTTATGAAGCTATGGTCGTACATTCATACTAAAAAACAACAGATAATGTGATAATAAGGTGGTGTGCTTTTGAAAGGGTGTTTCATTTTATGAATTATATACACCTGTATTGGCATCACTCATCAATTTACAAGAAATTCTTAGCTTTCTTACCGCAGTTCATCTCCTTCTTAGCCCTTGTCGA